AAAACAAAAAATTAAAATAACTTTTAATCTATGCAATTATTTAAATAAAAAATTACTTGTAGGAATTTGTGGATTATCAAGGATCTGTGCTGCAAGTATCCATAAATATAACAAAGAAAATGAATATAGAACTATTTTAAAATGTGATAGAAATAAATATCTTCTAGAGCGATATTAAACAAATATAGAAGAAACTATTTATTCTTACCATTATCATTTATAGCTGATACTGATTGAGTATTTGATGTTGATTGATTATTAAATTGAACATCAGTTAATAATTTTGTATTGTTTTGATCTATTTTCAGTATTGTGTTTAATTCTTCTTCAGTAAGAAGTTTCTTTGACACGTCTAAATTGCAATATTGATTGTATTGTTCGTTGGTAAGAAATTGTTTCAGTTCTGCTTCAGTAAAAAGTGGCTGTTGAACACTTGGAAATGATAATTCATGACATTGTTGACCTTCCGATTCTGGAATATCTTTAACAACAACACAATTGATTTTATGTAAACTCATATAATTATGATGAATCTATTTACCACATGTTGTTATAGGTTGATTTTGATTCCTGAAGGTTGTCATTGTTGATGGTATATTATTGATGCTGTCTAAAATTAAAAAAATAAATATTACTATGAATCAATAATGAAAAATTATTTTTATCTGTATTCAAACTACGAAAAAAATATATGACTAAATATAAAATCACACTATGCCTTTTTACTGAAAGAAAATATATTATAGCTTAATACACAATATAACACTTACTTATTCATCAAAAAAAAAAGATAGAATTATGAAAAAGATCGTGTATTTATACAAGATGCCATATGGTATTATTTTTTTGGAAAAATCAAATAAGTTTTATTGGCTAAACACTTCATACCAATAATATAACTTTCAAATAGTTTTGGAAAATTCATGTTTTTTTAATATAATATAGACATTTATATTTATATCAGATCATACTTTGTACATCAAATAAAAAAAATCAACTCTACTTTTCTATAGAATCACGTGCTGATAGATGTCTCTATTCATATTGTAAAAAGAAATCGATGAATAATACAGTTTACTGGTGTTCTTGAATAACTAAAAAAAATATTATTAATTGATACTATATTTTTAGAATAATTTATTTAACAAAAAAGAAAATTTCTATAATAAAAAAAACCAATTTTAGAAGTTTTATTGTAAAATGCTACAAATTTGCAATGAGATCTATCCTGAATTTCTATATACCTACTTATAGAACTTGCTATTTACTTTAATTTTTTAATAATATTGTATGAATATGATTAAATATGAAATGAATAAAATTATCTGAAAATACATACACATAGCTCTATATGGTAATATTCTTCATGATGTACAAGATTGGTAAAGTGTCAAAATGTCGAAAGGAAAATGTCGAAAGTGAAAATGTCGAAAAGCAAAATGTCGAAAATTATGAACCACTGTAAATCCTTGTAAATCCTTGATGGAAAACTTTTTCTAAGATTTGATCAATAGAATGTAATACGGTATACATTCACAGAGCACAACAGTGAGGGTGAGGGCGAAATCTGTGACCAAAAAGGATTTAGATTTTCGACAATCTGCTTTCGACATTTTGTCTTTCGACATTTTGTCTTTCGACCTTTAACCACCTATTCACAAGATTATGACGTTGCGAAACTAAAATTTTACATTATTATAAACAATATATATGTTTTTTCTGTTTTTGTTTAACATCTGTTTTCAAGTTATCACTATATGTTTGAAAATAATCGAAAATTTCCATTGAAAAATAAATCTTTTCCGTATAAAACTCGTACAATTGGTTTATTTATTAGAAAATCTCTATCATGTTTCGTTGTGATTATCATTGTTAATCAAAAAATTAATGAAAAACAGTTTCATTCGGAGATGATCTTCAATCTTATGTAAAAAAAATTAAACAATTATTATGCTATCATTCATAGCACTCATACAATATATATATAATTTGCCATTTTGCAGCATCACATGTTCTATTAAAACTTTGAACTACTGAATTTTTTCTTGATATCTTTTAATCATTTTATATAGTGCGATTATTGTTTTTAGTGCATTTTCTTCATAGTAAAAGACATAGCCTTCGTCTTGTGAGAAAAGTTGTGAATTGAAAACTAATGAATAGAGCTACACTACACCATTAATATCTTTGTTTTTTTTTGTAGATGAAATAGGAAACCGAAAGTAAACTGGTAGAAACACTAAAATAATAATAATAATATTTTTCAATTCAATAGAAGGATTTCGAAAATATTAATTGAATACTATTGATGATACTAATATTATTACTCTAATATGCAATTAAGTACATAAATAACTTCAATTATCTTTTTTCTTACGAGAGCATTGCAAAATGTTTCTAGTCTTCCTTGTTTCCAGACTAATAAATGAGGGTGTGGGTGTGGGTGTGGGTGTGGGGTGTGGATGGGGGTGGGGGTGGGGTGGTGGGCTGTGGGTGTGGGGTGTGGAGTGTGGGTGCCGGTGTGGGTGTGGGCTGTGGGTGTGGATGTGGGTGTGGACGGGTGTGGGCGTGGGTGTGGATGTGGGTGTGGGTGTGGACGGGTGTGGGCGTGGGTGTGGGGGTGGGGGTAGACGGGTGTTAGTTGGTGTAGGTGTATATATAGTTCTTCCCTTCACCCACACCCACATCCACACCCACAACCCACCCACACCCACCCACACTCCACACCCCACACCCCACACCCACACCCTACAATTGATGGTAATTGTTTGACGAGTAGGACTGTCCCATGTAGCCGAAAATGGATAAATAATAGAAAAATCACCTATTATTTTCCATTATTTTGTGAAAAACATCAAATACTTAATGGTAATGCATTATTTTTCGTAGTTTTAACGCAATTCAATGCATTTTTCAGAAGTAATGTTCAAGTACTTCGAAATTCTGCAACATTGCAATACATTTCAATGCATTGTTTAGTGATAGCGTTTTAATTGCCAATGAAGCATTGTATAAAAATATATTATTAGAAGTGCCATTGAAATTTTTTGGAGTTCAATAAATTTTTAATGCATCGTAGGATAAGGTGTAGGTGTGGGTGTGAGTTAAGTTAACAACCATAGCCATACCTACAAGCAGAATATCAGAGTTTGATAGGGTCGAGAAAATGTACATATGAGTGCTTTGGAGTTCCATTGGAATAAACCTCTTCGAAGTGAACTTTAAGTTGAACAAGTAACGACCATCGTTGCGACTCGTGCATAGGTGTGAATATGAGTGTTGATGTGCGTACAGTGTAGAGCGTGTCTAGTTGGATCCGCATCCGAATCTGCATGGCTACGAGTTCAGATCCAGGTCTGAAAAATTCTTGTTGACTGAGTCCGAGTAGAGTACTGAACCTGACCCAATAATTACTTCTTCAAAAATCAAAGTTAAATATGACCACATTCTTGTACGAACATCGTCAAGATGCCCTGAGAAATGGGCTTCCTAGTTGTTGAATCTAAATAGGCAAAAAAGTATACCATATCGGCAGAGAATTATCAAGCCGAATTAAAGTTTTATCCAGAATATTATGAGTGACGATTGAGTCAGGTTCGGGCTCAAGTGCAGTGTGGCGCTTCTCTTCCCCATTCAAATTATCACACTCATATTCAACCACCATCTCAGTCACATACCAAACCAATACGCAGACTACATTCGCACATCCGCCATATCACCATACCATCACTCATACCTTCATCTATACGAACATCGCATACTCACAGCCACACGCACATTCTTATACCTTCCTCACGGTTGACATAACTGCCAGTCTGAAAACTGATTAGACAAAAACTAGGAGTGGAAAATAATTGATAAATAGAGAAAACAACATAGCTGACATTCATTCTAATTCAGCAATAGTGCATTTCTAAACTTTTATTTCATATTCAGAAATATCTTATTCAGTTACATTGATAAATAACAACATCAATGAACATGGTGTGAATTCATAATAAAAAATCGAAACAATCAATTATTCAAAGTCATCAAGTACGTGATCATTTGAATCTACGCAGCAAATTTTTTTCATTCTGGATACTAAGCGGATCCAACTTGTTTCCTAGGGATCGCGACACAGCATGTATTCATATAAACATTAAGTAGAACAATGCAAATTAAATTTGTAATGATTCAAATAACTAATCAAATGTTCCAAATATGCTTTTCTCGTGGTGTAAAATTTTTTCATTGCAAGATTCACGCAATGTGGAAGACCAATGAATTCAAAGTTAACCTAAAAATACTGCTATATTGTGAAGAATTAACTTTTATACAAGATAAAATCGATTCGTGGACAAAAACCAATATGTATTAGGAAGCTACGAGTCCTTCCGGGCTCGGGTCCATAAAAATGTGGACTTACACTTTAGAAATAAAATCAACGATTCTGTAACAGACGTTCCGAGTTACTATATATTATAATAAAAAAAATACACATCTTTTAGCGTCAATTAATTCCTAACTTTAACAAATGAATATTACGCGTCAAAATTCGATTAGTTCGATTTTATAGAAATGTATTTTTGATGCCAGTATGGGAGTTATTTTCCTAAAAATATGGCAAAGAATAACGTATTTTCTTACAGCATGTTTTATCAGGTGATCTTTGGTTTAATTTATCTATAGAATATTCAAAACGTCTCGAAAAAATAATCTTCATATTTTATTTAAGAATGCCTTCAAAATTTAATTTTGGTCAATTGCTTAGATATGTATCACGTGTTTGTAAAATTCGAATATTTTCAGCACAATGATTTAATTTATTTTCACTTAATTTTATGTATTGTGCAACCATCGATCAATTTTTCACTATTAGATGTCTATATTTAATTAGGTTAAAATCGACAAATGGGTTTGTTGCTGCTACTGCTTGTTGTGTTTGATCTGTTCATATTGTATTCTTTATTGTCTTTGGGGATTCATTTCACAGTTTAAATGCAATAATTCATATCAATGTTAGAATATATACATGTATATAACCTACTTGTATTATTATTATTATTATTTCTTATTGAATTTTTACCTCTGATGAATATGATAATATTTTCTTTGATGGTGTTTATCAATGTAAGAAGATTAGGTACGTCAGCAACCATTAACATGAATGACACTTATTTGTTCATCATTTCTATATTTACAAACTATAAATACGAAATATGACATTCGAGGTCAACGTATTAAGTTAGTTATAAGATAAGTCTTATTTTTGAATACAATGAAAATACTATAAACTATCTTCGGCTTTTTAGAATTCATTTGGTATTTATAAAATCATTCAGTTTCGATCATCCGCGATTTACTAAATCTCTATTTGTAAGAAAATCAACAACAAAAACTACTACATTTAAACATCGTTGAATTCGTTTTGATCTACACGAAATATCGACATAGGAACCAACAAACCTTAGTTTTATACACTCTAATCTAGAGTCATATGGAACAGTTTCGAATTTCGTTTGTCCCGAAAAAATCT